CCCCCCCCCCCCCCCCCGACTGAAAATGTTTAGGCTGAGACTGCCATGTGACCTTCACCGACCTCAATTGAGGATCTCAAAGAACAGCTACATGAATATGTCAAAAACAGTGATGCAGCAAAAATGTGTCACTTTTTCACACTGGGAAGTTTCTGATGCAGATTTGTCCCCTTCTTAATAAAGACTTATTTATCACTGCAGTGTCCGCTGTCATCAAAAAACAGCTTACACAGATTATGGCAGATGGGGTGAGAGCCGTGTGGTGTCCCAGGTGGGATTTTCAATGCAAATTTCATTTGATGCCCTTAAAGGTGGCCATACAGCACATAACTCACCGTCCAATCATCTGAGAGTTCAGTCGAGGACTCGCGTCTAATATCCCTGTGTCCCCGGAGAGCCACAAATGGGCCAAATCACCGTGATGACAAACAAAATGTTCTGCGAGCTGCTGCGATTATGCTGGGATGGCTGACAAAACTGTTAGGGTTTTTTAATTGAAAAACTGATGATATCCTGCGGACATAATTGACGGTGTTGTCTCAGAGGAAATTATTTAAAAAGATAACAAAGATTGTGTCTTTTGCGTGCTTACAAAAGCAGTGATGGTGTATTTGTCATATAAGTAAACTGTCATACCTGTACAATTTGAAGAAATCTAAATCTATAAAGGTGCGGTTAAACGTACTGTTGTTCGGCAGTCATTTCACGACACCATTTTCAACTAAAAACGTAAAAACTTTTTATGTTTTGGAGGTTCATTTACATGACAATGGTGTTTTGGGGGCCTGAAAACGCAAACTTTTGAAAACTACAAAAGCGTGAATTTGTGAAAACGTTGACGTCATTCTATAGATATGTGCACAGGTACGTAGTGTTTGTTTACAAAGTCACATCGCCATCTACTGGCCAGGCATGAGTAATACAGAGTTTTTAGCTGTTTTCGTGGATCTGTGTGAATGGGGATCATTTTGACAATGTTGTCATCTGTACGCAAACTTTTTCAAAGCACAAATGAAAACCTTTTCAGTTTTTAGTAAATCGTTGTCACGTAAATCCTCAATTGCAATCCATGCGTTTGGGAGATTCACTTGAGGTCGAAAAAGTTCCCCATGTGGATTTAGCTAATATTTAAGACAACAGAAGCTTCTGGCCAGCAAAATTTCGCCAAAATAGTGATAATGTGGCTGTACCTTAACTCGTAATGTATAGAAATTTAGGCAGCCGAAATTTTATTTTCGGTTTTGGGCGAAACCGTTTTGAAACTGTTTAATTGGCACTTCTCAGACGACTCGTTTTTAATCTACCAGAATCTATTTTGTGCAAACAACATAAGTTACAACTGGTAAACGTGTCAGCTGTGTGGGCGCTAGTGTTTGTTGATATTGACTTCTTGTTTTTAATTTATCTTTTGTTTTGATGAAGATCTTTTAGTCCAGTGTTTCTCAACGCGTGGGTCACGACCCAAAAGTGGGTTGCAAGACCATTCTGAGTGGGTCACGGAGGACTTTTATTTTGAAAGACGTGCAAGACTTTTAGTTTGAAAGACGTGTGTGAAAGCTGTTGACACTTCTGTCAGATGCAGTTTAAAGTAAAGAGTGCCTAGAAAAACACGCTGTCCCGATTCAGTATCTGCGGTCAGATGAGATGTTGTCAGGCTTAATGTCAGTCTCATTATTCTATCGTTATTTTTGTAACTTGAAAATAAAAAGTATTTCACCTCAGAAAAATTAACTATCCTGTCCTGTCAGGTGCTGTAAAGTCATTATTTTTGTTTTCTTTGTGCACAAAAAGTATTCTCGTAGCTTCATAACATTACGGTTGAACCACTGATGTCACATGGACTGTTTTACCGATGTCCTTGAATGTTTTAGTTGTGTTGCTGTCTATGGGAGGGTCAGAAAGCTCTCTGATTTCATCAAAAATATCTTAATTTGTGTTCCAAAGAACACAAGGTTTGGTCTTACAGGTTTGGAAGCACATGAGGGTGAGTAATTAATGACAGAATTTTCATTTTTGGGTGATTTATCCCTTTAACAGTTCATGTTAGTACTGTGTATTCAGCATGGTAACTCTTGTTTCCATAACCCAAAAATGCCATTTTATTTTCACTTTGTGTTATTTTGTATATGTTTAAATGACTGTGGTGGCTCATACCAAATTAACTGTATTAACAAAAACTAGTTTGGGACTGCTATTTAATAGCCTTGCCTTATAGGCTGTTTATTCATCAGTATTCAGAATCAGAATCAGAATCAGAATGAGCTTTATTGCCAGGTATGTTTACACATACGAGGAATTTGTTTTCGTGAAAGAAGCTTCCACAGTGTAACAGAATGACAGTGACAGAACAAAAAAAAACAGATAAAAAATTAAAATAAATAAAAAATTAAAAATAGAACAAGTAAATAATCAACGTTGGCGCCATCGCGAAGAAAAGTAGTATTGAATTGTATATTCTTACAGGTGACGGTACTTGTGTGTGTGTGTCAACAATTTTTTTGAAATAAATGTGTTTTTTTTTGTTTTTTTTACAGATGTATTATATATATATATATATATATATATATATATATATATATACATATACTAAAAGAGTGGGTCACG